ACTTTTTATCCATAAGTTGGGCATTAGAGGAATTAATAACATTAACTAAGTTGATGTTGTAGAACTCAAATGGCATAACGAGAAATGTGCTTATTGAACTGTCTGACGTAAAATGAAAGAGTTTATATTCAACCAAGCATTTAAAAGCGCAAAGGTTTTTGTGAAATTGAATCAGCAAATGAATCTGGTATCATTGAGGTCACTGATCTGAATTCCTACACATTTCCTTTTGCCTTGAAAGTCTCTGATGACAAATCTAAGTTAGTTTTGTGCGTATGAACTATAATTTCAGACTAAGACTTTCAAACAACTCTTGGTGTTAACATGGTAATGCTCAGCCTGAGAGTCTAAAACAACTTTTAGTCCTGTTAAAATGGTAATGTTAATAATTATTCTTCTTCCCACAATTTTTTTTTTCTACACCAATGCTAATGCAACCTTGTTGCTAGAGTTTTAATTTTGAGATTTTGTATATGATCTCATGGTTTCCTCCTATTAGCAGATTTAACTAGTTTAATTCTTCAATTGATACCCAATGACATCTGTGGTGATGTAAGAATAGAAATGGGCACGCTGTTCGAAATTAAAATATATTTTGGTGATCTGGTTCTGCATTGAGCATTGGCTCCCTTTTGTGACAGCTCGTCTGATTAATTCTTGTTTGGTCATATGTTAGAGCTGGGAGAAGACAGTGGACTGCCACAGCCCTGGGCAAGGGTTGATGCCGGCAAGCTTTAAAGTGAGGACTGTTCCTCTTGATGGAAACCCTGGAGCATTTGAGGAAGTTTTAGATCCTGATTTTGGTGAATCAGCAATCGGTCGTGTAGCACCTGTTGATTCAGGTAATTTAAAGTTAGTTGCTGGTTATTGTGACATATAAAGTACTAGTTCAGTTAGATTAGAGTTGCCGCGTAACGGCAAATTACTGGTGTTCAACTGCTGCCTATGTTTTTCTTGTTGTCCATTTTTGGGTTGGGATAACTGCTGCGTACTTGATGTTCAATAAACAAACCTTCTTGTTACATATTTGGGAGGAGGGGGAAAGTTGGAGAGCATATTGACATTACAATCTTACACTTGGTATTGATAGTATCTGATTTATATTAGAATTACTTTGACAGGGTTGTGGTGGATTATCTTGTTGAGAGCTTATGGAAAGATCACAGGTGATTATGCATTGCAAGAAAGGGTGGAGTTCCAGACAGGCATAAGGCTGATTCTTAATCTGTGTTTAAAAAATGGATTTGACATGTTTCCGACCCTGTTGGTCACTGATGGGTCCTGTATGATTGATAGACGGATGGGTATTCATGGACACCCTCTTGAAATCCAAGTACGTTTGAAAATGTACAAATGTTTTAGTTCCTTTATACATGTCATATCCTAGGCTTCTAGCTGGGTTCTCTTCTACATTGTTCCTTTCTATACAAGAGTCACACCATCGGTTGAGTCCAATATTTCTTAGGAGAAAACTGAACTCCTAACTGTCATAGTGTCCCCTCAGGGAACAGTGGCTTATATTGGTTAATTAATAAATAAGATAGAATACTAGCCCTCTGCTTGCCCCCTTATTTTGCTTGCTTCTCTGGTTTATACTTTACTTAACAAATCTGGTTATACAGGCTTTGTTTTATTCAGCTCTACGATGCTCCCGTGAAATGCTCATTGTCAATGACGGGACCAAAGATTTGGTGGCTGCAGTCAATAACCGACTTAGTGCACTCTCGTTTCATATCAGAGAGTATTATTGGGCGGATATGAAGAAGATTAATGAGATTTATCGTTACAAAACGGAGGAATATTCCACAGATGCCGTCAACAAATTCAATATCTATCCAGATCAAATTCCATCTTGGTTGGTTGATTGGATTCCTGAGGAAGGTGGTTACCTCATTGGCAATCTGCAACCTGCACATATGGATTTTAGGTTCTTCACTCTTGGAAATCTTTGGTCCATTGTATCATCCCTCGGTACCCAAAAACAGAATGAGGGCATCTTGAATTTGATTGAGGCCAAATGGGATGATTTCGTAGCTCAAATGCCCCTTAAAATTTGCTACCCTGCTCTGGAGTATGAAGAATGGCGAATAATTACTGGTGGTGACCCAAAAAACACGTGAGGCTCGCTAAATTTTATTCTCTTTGTTACTCATGTACCTCATTGTTCTGCAAATCTTCTGACTACAAGCTCTTCTCCCGGTTGAATTTATTGCTTATGCACTTATTGTCTCCACTTGTAGGCCTTGGTCATATCATAATGGCGGATCTTGGCCAACCCTCCTGTGGCAGGTAATGTCATAAAAGTACTTTCTTTGAATTTTTCTGCTTTCTTTTTGGGTTTATGTTGCAAAGGTGGTCCAGAGGGTTATTCTGTGCACCTATCGATTGTCCTTGGTTTTATATATTCTGTATAGCATGTGCTGCAACCGATTATCTGATTTCTGTAACTGTGTCTTCTATAATTATCCTAGTTCACATTGGCTTGCATCAAGATGGGGAGGACAGAATTAGCGCGAAAGGCAGTTGCTTTGGCAGAGAAGAGGCTTTCTATGGATAACTGGCCCGAATACTATGACACAAAAAGCGGGAGATTTATAGGCAAGCAATCCCGGCTTCACCAGACATGGACAATTGCTGGTTACCTAACCTCGAAGATGCTTTTGGAGAACCCCGACAAGGCATCATTGTTGTTTTGGGAGGAGGATTATGAACTTCTGGAAACTTGCGTTTGTGCTCTCAATAAAACTAGTCGAAAGAAGTGTTCACGCTCTGCTGCAAAATCTCAGGTTGCGGTCTAGTGACAAGGATGTCTTTGTGCTCGGTGCTTGTGGGCAAGGCGGTGAGCGTGGGTAACTAACGAAACCCTGGAAGATGATTCAATCTAATATAATTGGCATTAGAATTTCTCTAACAGCCAGCAGGTGTGAAATGCATATTCTGTCGAACATTAATCGAAGTACAGACTGATTGTAGTTAAAAGGCTGAGTTTTAGGAGAGCCTTTTAACTCATGTCTCATTGTATGTTGTTGAAAATTTACATGTATTACGTCGGTGAAAATGTAACCAATTTGAACGGCGTTTAGCCATTTACTTGATTTAGCAACTTAATTTTCTCGTTTAATTTTTACGCGTCGAAATTAGATTTTATCCGATCGAGTAGATTTCCTATTACCATGACAATTATTAATATCATTGCAAATCAAATGAAAAATGAAACTTTTGAAAGAGGAAGAAATCCTCACCGGTATTGCAATTTTACAATAGTATTGCATTAAGACTTCAGATTTTTACAATGACCGGAGTTTATAGGAGTTGTTTTCTTTTTTTTTACGAACCTAACTTGATTTATTTTGTAAAAAAAAACTTGATTCAACATTATTCAAATTTTATATGAAAAGTTGATTTTTAGCTTGAAACTTTAGGAAAGCTAAACATATAAAATATAAAAAAATAAAAAAAATGATTTTCCAGAAATTAGAGTAGTTTTTGTTTTGCTGATGAACATGGAGGAAGATTTTCTCTTCTGCTAATCTCTCTCTCATTCCCTTCCCTCCCACTTAAACGATTATGGTTAAGCCACGTCAACATCTCATATTGATTTTTTTATAGAGACAATAAGGCAAAAAACAATGTGAGAGGAAGGGAGGGAAATAGATGGGAATAGGAGGAGAGAGAATCCTACTCCTATGAACATCGCAACTTTCTATGTAATTTTAATTAGATTGGAGGATGCAGTTGGGGTCCACTCACCTTCTGTAGGGATTTGGATCCTCTCCTGAGCCCAAGGAGAGGATCCTCCTGACCAAGACATGTAGACCGTTGGATTTTTATCCAATGTCTATAATTATTATAACTTTAAAGAAATCCCTTGTTTGTAGCTGTTGGATAAAATCCAACAGCCCACGTGTCTTAGTCAGGAGAATCCTCTCCTTGGGCTCAGAAGAGGATCCAAATCCCTTCTGTAGGGGCACACTCCCACACTGGTTTTTACCTATTTCAATTATTTCCATATTCCCACAAACCTAGAAATTGATTTTGATGGTTTTGGGTTGGATTCTTCCGCCCACCTTATTCACATCAGTCTTTGGTCCTATATCTGTAACGATACTAAGCTCACTCCAGTCAAGCGGGAAATTTTTTACCTATAATTGTCGATATAACATCTAAATATATATTATGTAGAGCTTATTTTGTAATGTATTTCAATAATCCATCTGTATATTTTTTACGTTTTTTTCCTCAAATATTATGTCTACTAAAAACCCTTCAAATCCATAATCATATCACAGTCGGATTAAATGATACCTATTTTAGAGTTTCCTCACAAAACTGTGTTTATCCATTTTCTTCAACTACAAATTAATGTTTTAGTCATTTTGTATTGGTCCAATATTTATATATGAATAGTGAATTAAAACCTAGACAACCGATCCTTGAAAAAAATCACCGTGTGCCCTATATATAGTCGTAAACTCACTGAGGATATATCTCAGTGATACATCAGAATCCCAACACATAGCCATATTTGAAGTGAAGAATAGTACGGTGCAGTCTGGTCCACTTTGTAAGGTAGGAGAGGAAAAACAATCTTGAGTAGGTTACCTACCAAAGATTATCATTCGATGCCGTGAGCTGGACTCTTGCACCAAAATAAAATGGACCATGAGCTGGACTCTGTACACAGAATCCCACTTGCATGCAGCACAAATTCTCCGTAGTGGACATTTTGGACCAAGAAAGATATTTCAACTTTTTTTTTTTGGAAGATAAACGAATACGTACACAGCTTGAAACCTAAGGTCTCGATCTCCACAATCATTTTCATGGTGGGGTTTCAATCTCAAATAATAGAGCATACATCGGCTCACATTCGCTATAAAAGTTTGATGTTTATCTTGTCTTTCAATTAAACAAAAGAAAAATGATATCGAAAAACACATTCACGACAAGAGTTTGATTCTTTATCTCGATTTTCTTCTTGTTTAAAAAAAAAAAATAAATAAATAAATAAAGCCTGTAAATTTATTGAGCATAATTTTTCTTTTCATTAATGACCTAATTAAGTACTAAACATTTCCCCCGTTTATAGGTACAAAGTCTACGACTTTCACTATGAGTAAGAAAAACTGCATTCATGAAAAACAAGAAAGAAAGAAAGGAAAAAGTTCTTGAGTGGAATAAGCTGCTTAACTTCAGAATTTTCACTATCCTATGTTTTTTTTTTTTTTTTCTGTAACTTTTCATTGCTGCTCCTTAATCCATGAAGCATTCATCATTTGAAGAAATTCTGAAAAGATTAAGACGGTTTTCGCCGAGGCTTAGAGAGAACGTGGTTTTCTTGTACTCAGCCCAAGTGAAGGGTTTGTAGAGCCGAGGCTTCTCCGGTGTGACCATTTCTGGAAGAGCACTCAAACATGCGTTTAGGGAGGGAGCTGCAAAATACGCCATTGACAATCTAGACTTCGATGAATTGGCTAAGGCTCTATGTCTAACGCTCACAAATCTTCCATTTGTCATGGCCTTCAAAATTAAGGGAGAAATTAGTTAAAACACAATTCAACTAAAACACATTAAGAACTTATATAAGTCTGTTTGTCTCACCTTTATTATCGATATGATTCAGAAGTTCGTGTAAAAGTGTGTTAAAAACAGTTGTATTGATATCTATGAATCAACAAACTTTTTTTATCACCTTTAAGAAATTTGTACTTGGAAAAGCATGAAGTTACTCAACCCAACAAGAAGCTTCAATTCTGTATGACAAGTTGTTTTCATTGCACTTTTATCCAACCAAAAAGAATATCTTGAGACGTGAATAATTAATGAGAACTTTTCTTAGGTTGAATTGGGTTCTTTAAGAAGGTATGGAAACCTACATTTAAATTTTTAAGAAGCATGACTACTCTTAAGGTAAGGTTTATCATTCTTCATGCCCTCTTTTGTTCTACGGATAGATACATTAGTTGTTCTACAACATATATATATATATGTATATATATCAAGGATGATGCTATTTACACACTTACTTTTTTACCTCACACACAATTTTGTTAATTCTTGGTCATTGATCTTTTTCAATTTGATTTGATGATCGAAAATTGAGAGGGATGTGTGAGAAGTAAAAATAGGTGTATAGATATCAATACACTATATCAAACACAACATGCGATGCCACTGTAAACTATTGATAAGTTGTAGGATTCACTTCCATCAGTGACTAACAATCACACAATACAATTGTCAATTATTGATGAACTGTGAGATTATCAAGGACTCACAATCAACCGCATGCTTTAACAACTTTCAAAACAGTCAAGATTTATCCCACAAAACTCATTTGCAAAGGAAGTACTAGGACTACCCTATACAAGGGCAACCAACTCAAAGGGAACATAAAGGGACTAGGTGTGTTATTACTTTGATTTTTGGGAGTTTTAACGAAAAAGTCGTGGTACTGTTCACTTTAACGAAAAACCACATTTTTACACTAAAAAGTCAATCCTGATACTATTCATTTTACCCTTTATTTTGTCTTTATCATTAAAACTTCAAATTTTCAAATTATTTTCATTAGTTTTTCTTTGACTTTTCTTGGAGAAATTAAATTAAGTTGATAGGAAAATTCACCTTGTTTTTGTGAGGTTGTCCCAACACACCGTAAATGGCATGCGGTCCAACTAACGAAGCACTTTTCAGTTTCAATATGCTTCAAACATGGTTAGTCATCAATTACCCAATGGGCCAGCCTCCCTAACTAAAGTCACACTCTGATTGGTTAAGAACTGATATACTGGGGCCTTACAAGAAATTTTTAGTTGTGACGAGAATATAAATGGTACAGCATGTGTTTTAATAGAAGTAGTGGAAAATTTTATTTTTAAGTTATTAACTTTTTAGCACACATGTCACACCATTAGTATAGTGACACGTAATGTACTATCTCGTGTATCGATTATATTAAAAAATCTCTTGTTACTTACCGATTATGCAAAAGCAACGTGCAGTCAAAATTGCATAGATTACTCAAAGTCAGTCTCAAAAGCTACGTGCAAAGCGCCCTAAATTCCCAAGTCAGACTCGATCAATTCAAAGTCTTCTTTTTTAAGATTGTGATTACCATGACATATGAATATCTAGAGAGAGAAAAACGAGAGAGAGAGAGAGAGAATAGACCAACCTGCAACACGTCACCCACATTAACCCAAAGGGCCGTGGGGTCAGAGGGCACAGGGACCCAAACCCCATCTTGTGGAGAGATTTGGAGGCCGCCCACGTCGTTGGATCTGAGGAGGGTGAGGATCTGAGGGTCAGAATGCTCCCCAAACCCTACCTTGCTGATGTCACTGCTGAAGGAGGAGGATGACGTGTCCTTATCCTTGCAGAAGTCCTGCTTGTTTTGCAGATGCGGGTAGTGATTGAGCCTGAAGACGGAGTCACTGTCGACACCCCTGATCAGCCTACTGAATACTGATGTGTCAGGGACCCACAGTCCCTCACCAATCAGATCCAAAAGCTCACATGCCAAATCCCTTGCTGCTGCAATGTATCCACTCACTGCAGAACTGTTTAGACAATACCACTCATCAGGATATTCAGAACCCACAAACTAGCTTGCAACACTTTCGCTTGTTGCATGAAACCGACAGATCATGGAACAGATTCACCTCTATCATAGCGTTTTAGATTACTAAAACACGACATTGTATAAGATTCTTTCGACATGACTTGATGCTAAGTATTAAGGACTGTTTCATGAAAGTTTATTTCACTCGAAAAATTATAGTAGTGTAAACTTGTTTTATGAAAGTTCATTTCCCGACTTGACACCAAATTTCCGTTACCTTTGTTTTCTTAGCTTGTTAGTAACACAAAGTCTAAAAACTAGTCACTTTCTAATCCCATCCAGATATTCTAACTACGATGTATAAAATAAAGATAACCAAGAAAATAGATAAAAACAGGCATCTAATATAACTTAAAATTTCTTTAGGAATTGGGTATGAAATATACACGATAATAACAGGTAAATATAAGGAGTTATACAAACAGTTATACGACAAGTTCTCCCTTAATTCTGGAAGCTGTTTTCTTCTGCTCTATTTATTTAATTATTTGAGTTATTTTTCAACACCCAAATGAACTGCTTAATTATTAGTTATTTATTTATTTATATTTTATTTTATATGATATGATTAGGCGCTCTTGATGTGCCACTGCTTCTGACTTGTCATTCTGATTCCCCAATTTTCATTACAATAATGGAACAACAAATTTGTATTCCATCTTTCGACTTTCCGACTTCCCAGTTCAGTAATGGAAAACATGCTAGCTCTCTAACATGTGTACAATCTTGGTAATCGACAGAGAAGCAGAGGAGGAAGAGGAGTGAATGACTCAGTGAGTAAGTGTGTCACTGACAGCTTATCCCACCATCTAGGAGTCGAGAAGAGGTCCCTTTGTTCCCTTGTTTTTTTTAGTGTTTGTTTTGATTTTAACGAGTCACGTGAACAACCAAATGGTTTCTTCTATTTCTTACTTTTCAATTTAATTTTAATTTTGATTTTCCATATATATAAAATGGAGAAATTGTTATTAACATTCTAAATGGTTATTTACACTTTTTATTCTGTAGAACTTATTATTATAAAGTGTCATTGATGACTCTAAAAAATCATTGCTTTAAGATTTGTGTAAAAAAAATGTATTTGAAATGAATTCGAATCATAAAATAAATTGGAAAATTAGGACATTATGAGAAAAAAACAAGATGAGGTTGTTAGATAAACTAAAATCATCAAGTTAGTTTGAATTTGAATCAACTTTGCAGCTGATCAGTTTATCTTCTTTTAAATTAGTTTATGTGATAGAGATATGAGCAGGAGTAGGCTTAAAAAATCAAGGTTCGAAATCCACATTTGCAACCAACAAAAAAAATAAAGTTAACCCAATAATAGTTAAACAGAATTGCGTAAAAAGAAAATATTGCATATGTTATAATTTTCTTTGAAAAAAAAAAAAAAAACAAAGTAAATTGCTAGTTAATGAACAGTTCATCCCTAAACCTACACAAAATCGTTACCGGTTCCTGCGACCGTCTTTCATTTGATATATTCTAGCTAAATTTTACGGGTCAGGTACCACCTACCTAAAGAAAAATTAACTAAAAACCATAAAATGGAAACCCGATAATAACTACTGAAATAGCTAGAGAATCCTAGATATATACAATCATACATACAAGAGGAGGGTAAATAATAAAAATATAAAAACTAAAAACATGCAAAAATAACAAAATAAAATGTGAAAATTTGTAAAAACAACAAAATAAGAACAAGTACCTGAATTTTGTAGGCTCATTTGAGATAGATTTGGATCTTTGAGCTATAGAAATTGGGTTTGTGTCGAAAATAAGGTACTCAACCTCTCCCATATCACCACTGAAGCCTATGTTCTTACAGCCATAGCCAAAGGGATCGGAAGGTCCTGCTCTTTGCTTCTCGGACACTGGTTTGGCAAAGAAGCTGAGGCTTTGCTCCTCCACTGTGGATATAATATCTTTTGGGACGCCGTGGTTGATGACCTTGAAGAAACCATAGTCCTCACAAGCTTTGACAATGAGTTTTCTCACTTGAAACCTCTCGGCTGAGAGGTCTATGATGGGGAGATCAACGGCCTGGATCTTTTCGTTGCGAATTGGGTTTGGAGGTGCCACCACCACCACCATGGTTAATAATCTAAGAGATGTGGGTGCAGAAAACTAAGAAGAGAAGATGGTGAATAACTAAGTGTATCTGTAGTGTTTTTATGTGTAAGGAAAAAAAGAGAAAAAAAGAAAGAAGAAGGAGTTTTTTGTTCAAGGGAAGTTTGGAGAGGAAGTGAGATGTAATGGGGTATTTATGAGAGAGAGAGAGAGAGAGAGAGAGGATCTATGCAAGCGGTTGGGGATTATCCTTAAACAAAAGGATTACTTGGGGATTCAGGAACCATAGACTTTTGGGTGAAGTACAACCAGCAAATTTCTCTGGTCGTTTACACCTAGCAAATTTCTGTCACACAAGAAGGTTAACTTAAGTTACTTATTGTGCACTCTTCCTTGACTAGGTTTTCTTTTTTTCTTTTTTTCTTTTATTTAATTTATTAGGTTGGGTAATGTTAAGAAGATTATATTTGTAGACAAAATATTGGAAATTAAAAGACATAAAAGTTGATGATTGGTTTATTACTTAAACGTTGATAAACACGCTCATTTCTATTAGTGATACATCATTTAGTTTACATATTTTGTCTCGAAATTTAATCTCCATAGCATTACCTTATTCGGTTTGTAGGATCAATTTTACTCAGAGGTATTAAATATGATTCACAACATACACGAGAATGTATATTTTGCATCATAATATTGAAAGCGTGATTATCTTTTTTTAGTCAAAGAGAAATAATCTAACGATCTCTTATGAACTTTTATTGGGTGATGCTATCCACACACTTAATTTTACTTCTCATACATCACTCTCAATTTTGGCCGTTGAATTGTGTGAATTGAAGAATTTAATTGCTCTTTTTATATGAACGTGTAGGTGTCTAATTTTGCGTTTATTGATAGTTTTGGTTTAAAAATCTAAAAGCTGACAATTTGATTGCTCTATACAAATTTTCCTCTTCTTTCTCCTTTTTGTGGATGTCTTGATTTCTTACTTAAATTGCATGAATTCTGGTGTGCATCTATTATATGGTCAAAATATTTTATTAATATTCATATCAGGAGGCGCGGTCGTGTAAGAGGCGCCGGTAAACAATACAACTTTCTACTACAATATTCCACTTTAAATCACATTATTGTTAGTTTATTGTGAAGTTTAGGTCACTCATCCACCTTCTTAGTGTAGACAATATCATTTATTAAAAAGAAAGTAGAGTTTTTGACCTATAATAACCTAAATACATTGGGGGTGGGGGGGGGGGGGGGGGGGTGGGGGGTGTGGAAATAGATGCATAAAAGCTCAACCCAATTAAATAAACTAAAACGGGAATCCAAATCCCTAATTTTCGACCGCAAAAAGCAGCGTTCGCCGCCGTCACCGCCATGAAAGCCTTACTAGTAGCAACACTAGAGAAAATGACCGAGTGGTGAAAATGAACAAGACATTGCAGCACAAAAGTACCAAACCCACAACAAGAAGCACACCACATCCAGATTTCTTCACCAAAGACGCAGAACCAAAAGATAGTCACCAAATCTAAATCCCATTCACGAATCCTAGCAAATATATACAAACACAGTAACACATGGATAGAAGGTGAGGCTAAGGGGGTATGTAAAATACCCTTACTTCAGCCGAAGTCACATTACACTTGGCCTCAATGGAAATCCGGCAAGCGTTTTGGGGGCGGGGGGCAGTGAAGGAAGGAAATAAAGCTGGCAACCATATTTGGTCCGGAGATTGCATATCAGAGCAAAGGATGGGGTGGGGATGATTTATGGGGAAGAGATGGAGTTTGGGTTTGGAAAAGAACTACTAGAGGAGAGGGATGGGTGGAGAGGTGGGGCATGAAGTCCGAAAGTGAGACAAACTCATAGAAAAATTTGAGACAAAGCTCAAGGAAACTAATGAGTCGATTTCATATTATATATTTTACCCTATTCTTAGTATATTTTGGTAATTATTTTGGTAGAATTTTTATACTTTGTTTTATATTTTCAATGTAGGACATTCGAATTCCTCTGAAGCAAAAAGTGATCAAACGGATGAATTTTGGAGTGATTCCAATTAGAGGATGTTCGTGAGTCTTTCAAGATGATTGTATCAAAATTCTAGTTTTTTCTACCAAGTCGTTTGACCGTGACAATGAAATTAAGGCTCAGCGCGCAGCTTTCCCAGATTGACATTTCTGGACGTTTTGAGTATTTTGAAGGTTAAGATGGCACATTTTGAGGAAGATTCCTTCTGAGGATTTGTAGGGGACGTCTTCAACTTTTAAAAAAGACTTTTTGGGACCAATTCGGAGTTGATTTGGTCAGTCAAAAGACTAATTTTCTAAGAACTCTGAATTTTAGTTCAAATAGGAAACCTTTTTATTTTCTGTTTTATGATTTAATTATGTTTCCTAGTTTTATTCTAAGACCTTTTCAAGGTAGGGTTTTATTTTCTAGTAGTATAAATAAGACTTTTAGCAATTAGAAGAGGAGGAGAACGCAACATTGGGGGGAATGTACGTGGAGAATTTAGCTTGACTTTGACGCTTTGTATTTTGAAGGTGTTTTCTATCCTTTTTCTATTTCAATAAATTCCTTTTGTTTTATGGTTGCTAGTAGCTAATTTTTGTTTGCTAGGGCGATGCCTTGAGTCTTAGCATGAATATGTAGTTTTTATTTAATTGCTTATAATATTATGCATGCATGCTTTGAATTATTAATCACTGTGCTTTAAACTGTCTCTATATCTTAATGCTTAGCTACCATTATGATGTTTAGATAAGTAATTGGATGCAATTTGGTCGGAATACCACCGGGGGATTGAGTATTGCTTCTTGTGGTTGATAGTTGTAATTTCACCTAGGATGAATACCACGTCTTAGGGGTTGCATGGTTTTTCAAAGGGTTTTCACAAAGCGTAATGAGTCATGCATGTTTATATTTGATCTGAATACCACGAACGGATTGCTTGTTTGATATACGTTCTAACTTGAATACCACGAGTAGAATATGTATTAGGAAAACCTAACCTTCAAAGTTGCATGGGTAATTCATAAGTAATTGATAAATCTACATAGGATTGTTAAGGGAACGGCGGAACCCTAGGCTTTTACAATTTGGTTTTCAAACTATTTTCTTTTGTTTTCTTTACTTTTCCTATTTATTTAATTGTTTTTAATTAAATTCGTTTTTAATATTTTAGGTCATAAAATCAACATTTTCCAATCTTTGTTTTCAAATAATTAGCTAAGAATTAGTTTACATAAATTATTCATTCAATCATTGCGGAAAACGACCTTGCTTGAGCCCTTTATACTACAACTACCTTGTTCTCTTGCAAGTATTTTTAAGTGTTTTTATCCCTACTTTTGCATGTGGTAAAAATACCTATAAGAAACTAAGAAAATTCTCAGGAAAAAATTGAAAAAGAGAGAAGAGGATTAGGAAAAAGAGAGAAAGAAGAGAACAAAGAACTTGGACAAGTATAACCACAAGCACCCAAGCCATAGGTTAGGGCCAGCGGCAAAAATGTTTGCAAGGTTGAAAAACAAGAGAGAGAGTCTAATGCGTTTTATGGTGCCAGGACGTCAAACTTTCCTTTCAGACTTAATGTCTTCATTTTTCCACACACATGGAACTGACTTCTCTTTATATTTCTGTGGCCTACATGATATTGTCTAAGTATACTATAGTCGATTTAAGAACTATTGTTTGGAAACAATCTTAGGTCAAGTTATGAGATTTGATTTCTTATTTAATACATTGATGGATGGTAATTAATTATATGATTCATTAAGAAACGTGTTTCTTTTTGCTTATAATAGTGCACATACCTATCTAATGTGTAGATTAATAAATAAAAAACACGTATTAGAGTTTAAACGTGCAAACAAGTCTAGAGAGAGAAACCTAGTTTTCACCACACCAGCACCTCATCTACAGATCGATCAAGATAAAAATTGTAGATGACATTTAACAGTTAATTATTAAAGAATGTGATTCATGTTTTCCACATTCGTTTGTGAAAATCATGGAGTTCATGATCTTGGCTCATGAATTGGGTCTTATAGCTTTACCAATTTAAGTCATCTCCCTCCCATGTGTTTTCGTGATCTTTTCGATTTTGCACACCTTTTTGTATAATTTGATTTTGATCTTATAACCATCTACGCGTTTTAGCAATGCCTTTAATTAGAAATACAAAATAAACAAAACTAAAAATACACCACCTTTAAATATTGTTGACTATTTTATTGATGCATTTACAGATAATATCAACAAGAAAAATTTTATACTACGATGTTATGTTCACATTCTCATTATTTCACTCGTCGTATGACATATTATGTATCACTTAATATGTGTAGGGATATGAACATACTTCTCCCGTGTAGGTAAGTTATTCTGGAAGTCGAGGGTTTGATGAGCTAGGTTTACATGAGCATGACATTCCACAGATTGTGATCATCAAACTCAACATGTTGTTGGGTAACAATTCTTACCCGAAAGGTACCAACTTCAGCTCATATATAGATCCTACGTCCAATCGTATGGTACGTGATAAAGACAGTACTAATGGATGGTGTTGGTCCGTATTTGTGGTAATTCACTCTCTTTAATTGGCCATGACAATTTGGTATGATCTAGTTTTTCTGGGGTTTTGATTTGGGTTCAAGGAATCTCATGATTCATCATTCATCCACTGTTGGTCATATCTGAGTAGAGATGGAATACCAATTTCTTGCAGTATTAAATTTTGTATTTTGTGTTTTATCATAGATAATAGAGAATAATGGTAACTTTAGTTACTCTCATACATTCATTACTGTGAAAGCTCCAGAATTAAAGTGCACAGAGCCGATATGTACGTGGTCAGTGGTTGATTAGGAATTTAGTCGTGATTATAGTCGAAAATTTTGGATGAGTTCTCAACTAATCAAATTATAATCGGTTTGTTGTTTTAAATTTGAAAAATGTTAATAAGCCACATTATCATATCACATCTCTAATATAAGAGACTTACTTGAAAAGAATTAAAAGATGAACTGTACTCCTTTTTCTGAAAAAATTATAGTTTCGTACGTATACCAGAACACAACAAGCAATATAACACAACATGCGATAACCAATGCGCATTTTTAAACATGAGTGAAAGTTCATAGCATGTGAATGTCTTACAATATCGCATGAAGTGGTCACAAATTTC